GTCATAGAACAGACTTCAAAAGTGAGGATATGTACAGTTCAGCACATGCTCACTCAGACTTACCCCATAATGGCAGAGTTGAAACATGCCAGGGGATTCCAATTCAATCCCATCAAGGTGGCATGTACCAATGCCATCTCACTAGTCCAACTGATCAATTTCTGTTCACAATTGATCATAATGATAGGACTAAGAGTCAAAGGGATCACATAAACAAGACTAGTGTCTGCTAATACTAACTGATAGAATTAAAAAGGAGAGAACAATCCAACATGGGAAGCGGAATACACAGCAGACTCATAGAATGGCAGATGTCCTAAATAGTGCTCCAGCCTCAGAATCAGCCCTTAAGGCATTCAGATCTGGCTGAAGAGCCCATGAGAGTATTTCAGGTGTGGAAAGCCAAGACGCTCTGGAAAAAAACAAACAAACAAACAAACAAAAACAAACAAACAAACAAACAAAAAAACCACCTAAATGAAAGATCTCTGTGAGTAAGATCCCAGTGGAAAGAACGGGGCCATCAAAGAAGGATTTACCTTTCTCTGAAGGGAGGAGAGAACTTTGACTATGGCCTTATCTAAATAAGATTAGAGTTGGTAAACTCAAGAGGCTTCCATAGCCTTGGCAGCCCATGACAAGAGCCTCGGGTGATTACTGATGTCATAAATAACAGTGTCAGTTGTTAAATCAACAACAGGAGTCACTGTGTACTTACTCCCCATGTAAGATCTCTGTCCTTAATATGTTGTACTATGTGAATTAATGGTATAACTAGTACTCAAACAGTACTTTATGTTTCTGTGTGGGTGCAAACTGTTGAAATCTTTACTTAGTGTAGAGTTGATCTTCTGTAAATAAAGATAATTGAAAATGAATCTTGGGCCGGCGCCACAGCTCAATAGGCTAATCCTCCGCCTTGCAGCGCCGGCACACTGGGTTCTAGTCCTGGTTGGGGCGCCGGATTCTGTCCCAGTTGCCCCTCTTCAGAGCCAGCTCTCTGCTGTGGCCCAGGAGTGCAGTGGAGGATGGCCCAAGCCCTTGGGCTCTGCACTCGCATGGGAGACCAGGATAAGCACCTGGCTCCTGCCTTTGGATCAGCGCGGTGTGCCGGCCGCAGCGTGCTGGCCACGGCAACCATTGGAGGGTGAACCAATGGCAAAGGAAGACCTTTCTCTCTGTCTCTTTCTCTCTCACTGTCTACTCTGCCTGTCAAAACAAACAAACAAACAAAAAGAAAAGAAAATGAATCTTGATGTGAATGGGATGGGAAGAGGGAGTGGGAGATGGGATGGTTGCAGGTGGGAGGGAGGTTATGGGGGAAAAAACCACTATAATCCAAAAGTTGTACTTTGGAAATATATATTTATTAAATAAAAGTTTAAAAAAAAGTTGTATCACAACAGGCAAGGTTCCCAGCTACCTTAGCCCTTGGGTTTCTTATAAGTAGAAAAAAATGCATTTTTTTAAGGATTTTGCTGAACATTACATGATAATGAGGAAAAGTATATAAAGTGCATGGCCCCAAGACTGACATAATAAGGTAATTTTTTGATACTGATATTAGACCATATGAATTAATTCATCAATATGCCTCTGAAATCATTCACAGTCCCTCAGACAGACAACATCCCAATCTACCCGCATGGCCCAAAGAACTTCTAAACTAAGCATAAATGTCAAAAATACAAAAACTAATTCCTCATGTTTATGAAGTACTAAGTAACTGAGTATATGCTTGATTCTGTATTCGAAGATTAACAAATATTATATTATTTAATCTTAATAACACAATAGGAACATACTTTAAAACTTTTCAATTTATAAGCGAAACTCTTGAAGATCACAGAGGTTAAACAACTCCCCTTAACCTGATGTTGGATCTACTCCAGGGTCTTTCTGACTCAGGAGCATCTGCTATCTACTTGTATCTCTGAGGTTTCAACCTCAGAAGGATGTAGCTGGACAGCCACAGGTCTCAGGGGTATAATCCTACTGCTGGTCTCCTTCAGACATCCCTGAGAAGGCCAGAAGCCCTGGAAGTATGCATGGTTGGGACTGGCAAAGGGATGGTTTGAAGGCTTGAGATTGTTGCCACCGTGAAGAGCTGTGACTGGCTCCAAGACGTACAAAGGACTCTGCCTTTCTCCCTGCACCCTCTACAAATGTGTGAGAATTCAGCACATTCGCTATGAATTTTCTTTTTCAGAAACCACAATTCAGTGGAAATTTCATTCCAATTGCTTTCAAGAACCCCAACCATTGGTTGGAAACTAATTTTCCTCTTTATAAACCCAGAATTTTTTCAATTTTTATTTAGTTGAAAAGCAGAGAGATGCCCTATCCCATGGCTCACACCACAGATGACTGAAGCAGCTGGACCTGGCCAGGCTGACCCTAGGAGGCTGGAACTTAATCCTGGTTTCCCATGTGGGGCAAGGATACAGCTGCCCGAGTCATCACCTGCTAGGGAGCATGTGAGCAGGAAGGAGAATAAGCTAGGACTTGAACCCTCTCTAGTATGGGATGTGGGCATCCCAAGAATGTCTTAACCACTACCCCAGATGCCCACCCCCATAAACTCAGAGTTTTTCATTTGAGTGTCGGCTCTTCTAAGGACAACCCATATTGCTGGTCTTACTGTTTTGGTTTACAGGTTCAACTTGCGTTTATTCTTGATGCGTTCTTTTCAGTCTGCTTCATGGTCATAGAACTGTGCTCATTGCATTGGTAAATGTGTTCCTTTGGCTTGGAAAAAAAAGGCCATAGGAGAAAAAAGCATAACATCTCTCTCCTGGTGTGGAGAACGTTCCAAGCACCACACTGCAGTCTACACACACACACACACACACACACACACACACGGAAGCACTCATCAGTCTTCATTGTTCTATTCCTCTAATTCAGGGGCTAGCAAACTGGGGCCTGTGGGCCCAATCCAGACTGCAACATATTTTTTGAATAGAGTTTCACTGGAACACAACCATGCTCATTTGTTTAGTATTGTCCTTGGCTATCATGCTACAATAGTAGAGATGAATAATGACAGAGACCATATGGTCTGAAAAGCTTAGAACACTTACTCTCTGGCCCTTTATAGGAAAAAGTTGCCCACCCCAGCTTAAACTTATTCTTTGTATTTTCATTGCTTGGGCTGTTATGAATTCCTGATTTGAGATTTCCTTATGTTACCAGGTACTATTTTTTTATTTCTTCAGTGACTCCCATTCTCCCTAGCACAAATCCCAACCACATTTAGTGTGCAAGACTTTTCACAACTTGGCCCCTACCTAAAATTTCTACTGTCCTCTCTTGTCAATCTCCCATCACCTGTACACATACTCCTGGGCTACAATCACAGTTAAATTACCCCTCATTCATCAATAGCCCAGGCCCTTCTATCTTCTTTATGTTGTACACTGTTTCCTTCATACTTGGTGAGAGATACTCTTCCTTTAAGGCTCAGGTCCTGTATCAGCATTCACGATTTGTCACTTTCATCTCCATTATATTTTAATTATTTGTTTTCACTTTTATCTACTCCACAAGCCTATGCATTTTTTGAGGGCAGGGATCTGTGTCAATTAACCTTTATACTCAATGTGTCTGGCATGTATTTTGGTTAGAGTAGCTACTCAGTGGATGTTTACTTGACAAATGAATGAGCCAATAAAGAAATGCATGCGTATATCAGTGCCTCTACTAGTCAAGCACTTGCTCTCCCCAAAATCACTCTCCCCATCTACCATTTCCACTAATATTCTCTGCCAGGAGTCCTATTTATGCAGGACAAACATAGACAGCAATGAACATGGAAATGGATGAACACCTCTTGCCTGAAACCTGTTGCTCACTACCCCAGGTGTCACCAGTTGCGGCCTATAACTTTTAGCCGTGACAGAAGAATTGTGGCTTTTATTTTTGTGAAATATTGTGAGAATAGAGAACTATATCAGAAGAAGGTCTAGAAATGATAAGGGGGCTATATTGGAATTTCTCAAGGAGAAGCCATGCTCAGGGCTGCCTGGGAAACAGGGGCAGGTGAGCACGCACCTGTGTATACTTGGTAAGGTCAAGGCTGATCTGATGGCAGAAAGGTTAGACCCCAGCCACAGGGCTCAGGGAAACTGTACACAGCAGAGCCAATATCTGGGGAAAGGCAATGATGGGGCTGGGGGACATGAGGAAGGAGGGAGAAGAGGACTGGGGCATCTTTTGGGGGCACATTCATTGGCTCAGTGATCAGCAGCATTTTTGGTCAAACCTCAAGTCATGAAACAAGGAGTAAGAGCCTGGACCTCACAGAACTAAGTAAAGAGGGAGAGCAGAAAAGGGAAAGGGAAGTGTAAGGAGAAGGAAGAATGGAACAGAGTGGCCAGGGTGAAGAAATACAAATAAAAGCAGAGGTGACATCAAGCGAGCAGTGGTGGAAGGGTATGACCATGCACCATTCATCAGATCATTGCTATTTCCTGAGCACCTTCCGTCCACCTCAGACGTGGTCAGTCCCACCACCTGGTCAAGCCTTCTCCAGCTTGCCTCTGCTCTCTCCTCCCCTCCTCTCCCACTCCCTCTCATTTCCTCTGCCCCTCTTCCTGGGCCGCCTCAGCCTCTTCTCCTCCTCTTCTTCACTTCCTCATTGCTCTTGTTGCTCCATTTTCTATGCCCCTTTCCAGTATTAATTTAATTCACAAAGGACCTGTGTCTCATGGATAGAGCTCAGAGGCGGTGAGGAGAGGCTGTTTCTTTCTAGTGTGGATGGTCGTGGAACAAGTGCCGGGAAGCATGGCCTCTCCCTGACCCTGGGAAAAGTAAGTGCACTTTCCTTACAGAGGACCGTTTACACACACGCTCACATACACACTCAGCTGCAGAAAGGACACTCAGCCTGCCCGTCTCTTCCAACCCTCTGCTTGGACATCCACATTAAGGTCGAGGTTCCTGGCTCAAGGAAACAACGCTAGGGCTCAGGGTGTTTCACATGATTCGCTTTGGGGAGTTCCAAACTATCACAAGCAAGTTTAGAAAAGTCTTATGTCAAGCTAGTGGTGGGGGAATAACCCATATGCTGTGGGCTAACCATGTTACATCAGGTTTTCATGGCATGTAATTATACTGCTGGGAGAGAGAAGGGGATGACTCGACCTGAAGCCCCATCAGTAATAACAGGCTGTGCTACAAGGGGGGTTTGCTGGAGAAATTAATGGGTGCTCTCACATGGATGATGCAAGCACATATTCTACAGAATGAATCAGTTGGCAAATTTTGTTGTTTCCTCCTCAGTGATGTTTGAAATGATCCATCCTTGTGTTTCCTTTCCATTCCACTGCTAGTGCCCCTTTTCAACTTCCATGACCTCAATCTGTGACTATTACTAGTCTTCCAAATAGTTTCCACCACTCCTGGAGCTTTCCTTTCCAACCCAAATTGCCTGCTAAGGCTAGATTGATGGTTGTAAGGAAAAAATCTCATCACGTAACCCCTCCATTCACCCACAGTAAACAGCAGCTTTTCCTGCTGCTGGCACTCCTGGTATATGGCAGCCTGCCCCCAGTCACCTCCCACTACTCTCATACACAAATCTTGTACTCTGCCCTTACCTGACCTTTCATTATTGTCTGCACAAGTCTCGTGTTTGGTTTTCATTGTGACTTTTTAAAAATCCAACTAGGCATGCGGCCCAGGCATTAGGTCACCACTTGGGACAGCCACATCCCATATCAGAATGCCTATTATGCTTCGGATACAGCTTCCTGCTAGTGTGCATCCAGTTCCTATGCCTAGCTGACTTTGCTTTACTCCTCTTTCATAGGAAGCATATCCTCCAAAGCTGTCTGAGGAAAGATGCTTGAGAGGTAGAAGCATGAGCCCTGGCACATCTGACAACGTCGTTGTTTTCACACAACCTTAACAGCTGAAGAAGTTTCACTGAGATTTTAGTCTCAAAAATCCTTCAGAACCAGAAAGACATTAGGTAGTCCAAAGACATTCTACATCCAGATCCAAATTGTGTTATTTATTTTCCCTCTGGAAGCTTTTAGAATCTTTTTATTTGGTGTTATTTTGAAATTTCACAAGAACCAACCTTGCAGACTTTATTTATTGGATCATTCATTCAGCTAGGCACTTGGAGAGCCCTGTAATTATGGAAAATTCTTCTATCTGAATACTTTTTGTCAGTTTCAATAAAATTGCATCTATTTTAATTCAATTTTTTGATAATTAGTTATTTTAACTTTGAAATGTATAGGCAATTAAAAATATTAGATACACACACACACACACACACAGAATGAGAGACAGAGAGAAAGAAAGAAAGAGAGAGAGAATGAGAGAGTTTTCATCTAATGGTTCATTCCCAAAATGTCCACAATCAAATAGAGGGCTCTGTTGAGGCCAAAGCCCAGAATAATTTCTCAGTCCAGGTCTCCAACATGGATGGTAGGAAGGCAACTTCTTGAGCCATTATCCCAGCCTTCTGTATTAGAAGGAAGCTGGAATCAGGAGTCAAAGGTGGATTTTAAACTTAGGCACTCCAATGTGAGATGTAGGCATCCTAGCCTGTATCTTAATTGCTAGGCCAAATATACCTGCTTCTGGTTTTTTATTACACAAACAATAAACACATTTATCCATGTTGTACATGATTCAAACAATACATACATGTGAACAATCTATGAAAGTCTTCCTCTTTCTCTAGGTTACCTCCCTAGGTAACCATGGCTAAAAGGGTGTAGTGCATCTTTCCAGACATAGTTTTTTTTTATTTTTTACATATATGTAGGCATATGTATTTTTTAAAAAGATTTATTTTATTTATTTGAAAAACAGAGTTACAGAGAGAGGTAGTGACAGAGAGAGAGGTCTTCCATCTACTGGTTCACGCCCTAGATGGCTGCAACAGCCGGAGCTGTGCTGATCTGAAGCCAGGAGCCAGGAGCCTCCTCCAGGTCTCTCACATGGATGAAAGGGCCCAAAGACTTGGGTCATTTTATACTGCTATCCCAGGCTATAGCAGAGAGCTAGATCAGAAGAGGAGCAGCCGGGATTAGAACTGGTGTCCATATGGGATGCTGGCACTTCAAGCCAGGGCTTTAATCTGCTGTGCCATAGTGCCGGCCTGGTAGGCATATATTTGTGAAATATATTAATGGAATCCCACTACACCTCTAATACTGCAGTTGATTTTTAAAAAAATTATCAGTGAGTCCTGGATAATTTCCCATATCTGTATGTTTACATTTCTTGGTATATACAACACCACACCGATTAATTCAACTATATATCCGTGAAGATGTTTCTGTTTTTCTTAATGATATTTAAGAGCTGGCTACATCTTGAAATTTTAAACTTCAAAAATGCTATTTCATCATAAACTGTCATAGACTTTGATGACATAGAGCCCTAAAGCTGGTCTAAGCCACCACTTAGGATACCTGAATCCCATATCAGAGAGCCAACATGAATGCTGGCTCCTCCACTTCTAATCTAGCTGCACACTGATGCATCTTGGAAGGCAGCAGATAATAGCCAAGCACTTGGGTCCCTGCCAGCACATGGGGACCTGGATGGAATTCTGGCTCCTGGTCTCAGCCTGGCCCAGTCCTGGCTATTGTAGGCATCTGGTGTGTGGGAGGGTGACTTGTTATTCTGAACTATAGGTCAAATTCATTAGCCCCTCTCCCTTACAGCTGAAAAGGAGACAGAAGGGGAAATAGAAGATGAGAAAGACAGAGACAAATGTGCTTTCCATGAGGCTCAGCCCTCTATTCAGGAAGCTACTGGGCACCAGGGATGCATCTTTGCTTGCTGGAGAAGCTGGCTCCTTGCAACAGTCAGCATGCTCCGCTGAGGACGGCTGATTCTGAATATTTGCCCAGTGTATGATGTGTGCAGTCTTACCCCGAGGAAAAAGGCAATAAATACGGCATAATAATGACCATAACATTTGTATAGTACTTTATGATTATACTGCCTTTCAAATGCATTACCTCATTTGCCGTGAGTGATGTATAATAACTACACAAGTCGTCCTCGTGGCTCCCATCAGCCACACATTGGTAAGTGCTCCTAGTTCGGGATTGTGTGGGCTAACTTCCCAATCAGGCAGACCTGGATTAACAAATTCAGTCTTGGTTACTGCCTTTCTCTATGACTCTGGGCCACAACTATGCCTACCTTAGTTTCCACAGTTAGCACTCATGCCATGTAGTAATGTTGTTTCCATTAAATGCATTCTAAAGTAAAATACTCTGTGCAGAATTCAAATGTTTTAAGCCTGCAAAAAGTTAGGGCTCCATTTTCTTTTTACTCCATTCAAATAGCTGCAGAAAATAGACACTTTCTATTTTTTCCTAGTTGTTTCAGGGGTTTGCTTTTTTTCGAGAATGGTAACAATGTCTAAAGGCCTATACTCATCCACCAGACCACATAGAGAGCAGTGGCAGAAGATAGCAAGGCAGGAGGGTTGGGTGGGTAACAGCTATTGGCCAAGGGAAAAGTAAACAGGGCCCATTTCTACTCAGACTCCACTGCGTTCAGGTGTTAAAGCTGCTCACTCTCAGAACTGACTCAACAAGTAATGAGCATAGACTCCTAAGAGCTCCCAGATTGTAGAGTTCCAGGATTTAACCATAGGCACTCATAATTAGGGGTTCAGACGACACAGGTTCTGACATAGCCTGTACAGTAGCTGCCTGGCCGTGAGTTGTCTCTGAGTTCTGGGCCAGGCACTCAGAGAGCTTCTTCCCAGGACGGAGGAGTGATTCAGAAGAGATGACTCACTCAGTAATTGGTATTAGTACCTACAAGTTGCTTGGGTGTGTTTCCCTGACCTCTCAACCCCCTTTCTGCTACTACTTTCCTATGTTCTCCACTTTTATTTCAAAGTATTCTAAGATCTGGCTCCACGAGGGGAAATAAACACAGACTAGTTGAGATAACTTCTCTGGGGTAACCCAATGTACAACATACTGAAAGGTTATTGTCGGGGTCTGGTTGTTTTGGGATCCATCTCTGTTAGTGTGAGCTATTCTTTAACATTATTTGAGAATGCTGATGCATGATTATTTCTATCTGGAGAGTCAGATGCGAAGTCCAGTTATGGTCTCACTAAAAAGGCCTCCCCCACCCCAAAAAGCCATTTTAGTTGGCTTTATTGGTCTTCATTGACAAAGGCCAAGTGTGTACATTTTAAACAATCTATAGACATGCTCAAAAGATAGAATGATAATTCCTTTTAGTATTACAGACTTAGAGAAACATCTTCAATATTATTTAGGTTTTATTGTTTATTAGGTATGTAAGATGTCATTAAATAATAAATTTTCCACATCTTGCTCTAGAAAAATTGCCATAAATTGAATCAAATTTCTTTCAAATCAAAGATTGTCTATCAGTGGGAGATACATAATGATTAAGTGAGTTAATAATCTTCAGTGGTTATAGATTTGGACTTTTCTATGTAAAATGGCATGGTTGATAAGATCTTACTAAATAAACTCATCAATCAGCCATTCTGTAGACTTATAAAAAAGCTTTATTGTCAGAGACTACAAAGTAGTGCCCAAGGCATTTTAATTGTTGCTTGTTAATTTTGTATTGAACTAATATTAGCTTAATCTTTAAAACTATAGTATAAAAATTCATTTTATGATCGTTTCTAGTTCACTAGATTTCCACTTATCTTGAAAAATGTACACAAACCTACTCCTCTAAGCTATTCCCTCACTTCCTTCCTATTTTGCACTTTCCTCTATTACTCGGGCAAAAACATCCCAATTTCCTAGTAGCATTAAAATATAGTCACTCTTACCTTAACAGAGATGCATGAAACCAAAACAAAGAGAAGCTCATTTTATGTTTTCCCAATCACATGTACTGTGTTTGCTTTAAACATGTGAAGTGTTGTAGGTTTTGGTTTTTTCTTGTCATAACTGGTAAAAAGAAAAATCCCTCAGAAACAACTGGGTAGTTAGACTAAGGATGGCTCTCAAACTATGAGAAGAGAAAACTTTTGATGGAAAATGTTTGATATAGATGAGTTTAACCCATAAAGAGCCATGTCCTCTCCTCTTAGTGCCAACATCTCAGTTCCAGACATAGAGGTTCCTACTCCAGTAAAGAAAGACCCAGTGGTTTTTTTCCCACTGCAAATTAACGACTCATTTACTGACTGTAGTCTTAGAGATGATAACATGTAGTTAATCAACAGACAGGCGCGTCTCTGATGTCTGGGCTCTTGGCAGGGCCTTTTGATCTCAAGTAATCTAAGGTGTCTTTTGTTGTTTTTTTCTGTTTTTTTCTTTGATCATTTACCCCCATATTTCTTCTCTGATCTCTTTTTCTAGAACTCCTGCTAAATTTTCTGCTTTTTCTCTCCTATTTTCCTTTGTCTTCAGTTTCTGGTATTCTTGTTAGCATTATCTTTCAACTGCTCTATTGAACATGTAAGGTTTTCGTGTTCTCTTTCTAGTCCTTTTTCAGTGATATCTTTTCTTTAAATTTTTTTTATTAGAGCAGCAACAGAGAGATGTAGAAATACAAATTCAAAAAGGATAGAGCTCTCTTGTTGAAAATTATGCTTTTGTGGCAATTGAAGCCTATGAATATAGAGTAGATTAAAATGATATCTTTGCAAGAACTGAGGAAGAGAGAAGGTGGGAGGGGATTGGAGGTAGCAGAGGAGTGGTGCTGTACCTATGGATGCATAAGATCTATTCTTTCTATATTAATAAAAATAGAAAAAAGACAGAGCCCCTATCCACTAGTTCACTCCTCAAATGTGCACAATGACTGGATTGAAAGCTGGCAGCAGGAACTCAATCCAGGTCTCCCATCTTGGTGTGGGGAACCCAATTCCTTGAGCCATCATCACTACCTCTCAGGGCCTGCACTGGCAGGCAGCTGGAGCCAGGAACCACGGCCAGACATCATCAAACCCTGATACTCCAGTGTGGGAGGTGGGCATTTAACCAGTAGGCAAATGCCCAGTCTAGCATTTCTTTTTTCTTTTTTCTTTTTTTTTTGACAGGCAGAGTGGACAGTGAAAGAGAGAGACAGAGAGAAAGGTCTTTCTTTGCCGTTGGTTCACCCTCCAATGGCCGCCACGGTTGGCGCGCTGCGGACGGCGCACCGCGCTGATCCGATGGCAGGAGCCAGGTGCTTCTCCCGGTCTCCCATGGGGTGCAGGGCCCAAGTACTCGGGCCATCCTCCACTGCACTCCCGGGCCACAGCAGAGAGCTGGCCTGGAAGAGGGGCAACCGGGACAGAATCCGGCACCCCGACCGGGACTAGAACCCGGTGTGCCCGCGCCGCAAGGCGGAGGATTAGCCTAGTGAGCCGCGGCGCTGGCCCTCTAGCATTTCTTTATTCATGAGTGCATGATCTTATTGCTCTGAGACTCATCATTTCTTGAGATTTTCTCTCCTTCATTTTCTTAGTTTTTCCAGTTTTGACTCAGGCTGTTTTCACAAAGCATCATAGATTGGATGTCTCCTAAACAATGTAGCTTACTTCTCACAGCTGTTGAGGCTGAAGTCTTAAGCCCTGCTGTCAGCAAGGCCAGGTTCTGCGGACCCTCCTCCAGGCTGCAGACGCCATTGTCTCATTGCGTCCTCACTCGGCCGGCAAAGGGCCAGAGAGTTTTCTCTGGTATCCTTTTTTTTTTTTTTTAAGATTTATTTATTTATTTATCTGAAAGGTAGAGTTACAGAGAGGGCGAAGCATAGAAGGAAATCTTACATCTGCTGGTTCACTCCCCAAATGGCTGCAACAGCCAGGGCTGGGCCAGGATGAAGGCAGGAGCCAGGAGTTTCATCCCGGACTTCCACGTGGGTGCAGGGGCCACGACACTTGGGCCATCTTTCACTGCTTTCCCAGGCACATTAGTAGGGAGCTGGATTGGAAGTGGAGCATCCTAGAGTAGAACTGACACCCACATAAGATGCCAGCACTGCAGGCTGTGGCTTCATTTGCTGTGCCACACTGCGGGTCCTCTGTGGGCTCATTTTAACAGACCACCAATTCCCACTCATGTCCCATCTCCTGATGCCATCAAGTCGAGAGTTAGCATTTCAACATGAGTTTGAGCAGGACACACATAGTAGATGATACATAGCACAATTTCTTTGTTTCTTTTTCCTGTTTGTTTTGCTGTTTCACATGATGTTGCTTCATTCCTTAACATTTCTGATGATTCCCACTTCTCTGTTAGTATTCAGGAAGGAGCACATGAGTGGGAATATGGTGCAGAGGTTAAGATATGGGATGCACACATCCCACATCAGAGTTCCTGGGTTCAAATGCTGGATCTGTTCCTGATTTTAACTTCCTGCTGATGCACACCCTGGATGGCAGTAGGCAACGGCTCCTGTCACCTACGTGGGAGGTCTGGATTGAGTTCCCCACTCTGAGCTTCAGCCTGGTGTAGCCCCAGTTGCAGCAGGCATTTGGGTAGTGAACCAGCAGATGAAAGAATCTCTCTTGTTCACACATGTATACACACAAACACACACACACAAGAATAGGAAACTAAAAGTATATGAGAACCAGAAAAAGGTTAAAAGGAAAATTGCAAACCAAAGAAAATGTTTGATACATGTGACAGAAAAATGGGCAGTGTTTATATATCTATAAATCATGAAAAAATCATAAGATAATTATGCCAATAAAATGTATAAATACCATGGATAACAAATTTGAAAAACAAACTGTTAACTAGTCAAAATGCTAAAGTAGTAATGAATTTAAACAGCCATGAGGTACTATCAAATTGTCAAGTTTTGTTATTATGTTTGGCTTGGTTTGGACAAGAATGGAGAAAAGATTTTCTCATATATTCCTGGTGGGACTATATTTCAGTGAAAATTTTCAAGAGAATAATAATTCAGTTATATGCATCAGAGCTGTGAAAAGAGTACATACTTTGATATAGCAAGTCTATTCCTGATAATCTTAAGATAGTCAAGTTTACAAAGATATATGTTCACTTCAATACTGTTTCTTTTACTGAAAATTGGACACAATACAAATATCAAACATTAGGGATTAACATGATAAATGATGATTACACTCATCTTGGGAATACTATTCAGCTATAAGGAATAATTTATTGCAATTTATTTGTTGGCAAGGTAAGATTTTATTGATGCACTATCAAGTCAAAATAGTGCAATAAGAGAGTGTTTAAGAATACAGATACACAGGGCTGGTGCTGTGGTGCACTTGGTTAATCCTCCACCTGAAGTGCCAGCATCCCATATGGGAGCCGGGTTCTAGTCCCAGTTGCTCCTTTTCCAGTCCAGCTCTCTGCTGTGGCCCGGGAGGGCAGTGGAGGATGGCCCAAGTCCTTGGGCCCTGAGCCCCATGGGAGACCAGGAAGAAGCACCTGGCTCATGGCTTTGGATCGGCACAGCGCTGGCCATAGCAGCCATTAGGGGAGTGAACCAATGGAAGGAAGACCTTTCTCTCTGTCTCTCTCTCTCACTGTCTGCAACTCTACCTGTCAAATAAATTAAAAAAAAAAAAGAATACACATACATTGAAAGCAATATTTGTGATATACACAAAAGCAGAAAAAAGCCTAGATGATATATGTAAACCATGATTATTATTAGAAGATGAAAATAGAGATTATTTTAATTCTTTTTATTATGTTCACCCATATGTTTCAGATTACCTGTAATAAATATAATACTGTGCATGAAAAACATTTCTAGAGAAAAGAAGTAACTATAAAAGTGGATTTCGAATCCCGAGAACATGCATAGGTGGGGTGGCTGTGCCTTGCTTGTTCATCAACAGGTTTTAGCATACAGTGCTAAGATGGGGACCCAGTCATTTTCAGTATATGTTAGCATTCTTTGTCCATGTGTCTCTTTCTACAAGGAGCAATCTTACAATCTCTCACTAGGGAAAAAAGATTAGCATCCAGTACACTGGGAGCCAGGCAGGCTACCACGATTACTCGGCCTGCTTGCAGCTTGCCATTCTCACCCACCCTCTGCTGCAGGTGGGTACTCAGGTACAGCCTTGCAGGTGACTTTCCCCAGAAGAAAAGCCTTCAGTTGCGTGACCAGGGTAGGTGACTGGTGGTGAAAGATAGAAAGAGGATGGGAAGGTTCACTGTTCTTTGTTTGGGTTTTTAACTATTCTTGTTTGAATTCCTGCCCTTTCTCAACTCAAAATACCTACTGTCTCTAATTCCTAAATCATTCCAGGGTTTTTCAATAGAAACTGATTTATTTTTTGTGCTTCCCCCTCCAACATTCTTTCTGGGCTCTGATATATCATTACATCTCAATCATCTGTCTCCAGATTCCAAAATTTTGTTGACATTTCTTATTTGATGAGATGTCTTTGCTCTTCTTCCTCATTGACTCGTACCATTTTTCTCCATACTCTATTAATACAATTTCAGAAGGAGAAGAGATTAAATATTTACATTCAATCCAATATATTTAACAGGAAGTCCCAAGGATGTTTATACATTTTGCCGCTATTCATAAATAACATTGAGCACAGATGTCTCACATCAGAAGCTTTAAGGGTTTGGCAAGTCAAGTTAGTGCTAATTTAGTGAAGAGGGTGCACATGATGTCACTTGTATTCACCTGACCTACTCAACAGCCAGGACTTAGAGATACTGCTCCTCTGATTAGTCTATCCACAAGCAGGGATATGAAAAAAGCAAATGGCAATTACAATATGCCAATTTCCCTATAATAAAATGCTGTGCTTGGATGGGAAGGAAACTGCAGCTGTTCAGTACAGATGGCAAATAGCTGACTGCTTTTTAGTAGGATTAAATGAAATATCAAAAGTGAATAGTCACATTGAGAGAAAGACGTGTGAGCTAAGTCCCTACGTCTCATCTTTAAAAAAAAAAAAAAGCCCCTGGATAGTTAACATTTATTTAGATTTTTTTAAAAGGAAAATCTCACCTAAGTCACTGACCCATGTAAAGAATTCCCTAAAGGATAGATTGATATATTTTGTGTCACCACTTGCACTTGGACTTGCTCAAGATAGATTTTTCAGGTATTATCTTTGTACCATCTATTCCAAAGTCTGCATTAGCACATAGCTATAACAAGGTCAGAGCCCTACTGTGAGTAGGAGTGTATCTGTCTGCACATTTGTATTAATATTCTATTTACTACCATTGTATGTGTATTCACTAAGCTTCTACCTCTACAAATTTAGAAGTTTTTTAAGGCAGAGATATAATTTTCAAAATTCTTATTTTCTCATAGCACCCAATCCTCTGCTAAATACATGGTAGGGACTCAATAAATCCTTACTGATTTACTGATGGACTATGTTATTGAAAGGGGTGTTTGCACCCTCAATAACACCAAGAGTTCATGTGGACCCATGTGACATAAATAAGTTGCCAAATCATGGCTCTGCTCCAGTCCAGCTTTCTGTTAATGCAGATTCTGGGAGGCAGCAGATGATGGCTGAATTACCTGGGTCCATGTGGGAAACTGGGTTTGAGTTACTGGCTCCTGGCTTCAGCTTGGTCCAGCTTTGACAGTTGTGAGCATTTGGGGAGTAAATCAACAAATATAAGATTCATATTCATTCATTCATTTTCTCTCTCTCTCTCTCTCTCCCTATTCTCCCCTTCAAATAAACAAATAAATAAAATGGCTAGAATGGCTGGGGCTGGGACAAGCCAAAGCCAGAAGATGGAAGCGTCTTCAGGTCTTTCACATGGATGCAGGGACCCAAGGACTTGGGCCATCTTCTACTGTTTTCCAAAGCACATCTGTAGGGAACCAGTTGGAAGTGGAGTGGCTGGATCTGGAACCAGTGCTTATATGGGACACCAGTGTCACAGGCAGTGGTTTTTTACTCACTTTTACTGGGGCCATAATGCCAGCCCCTGAAAAGTGTTTTTTTTTTTTTTAAGATTTATTTATTCATTTGAAAGGCAAAGTTACAGAGAAGCAGAGGTGGAAAGAGAGAGATCTTCCATTCAGTGGTTCACTCCCCAGATGGCTGCAATGGCTGGAGTTGGGCTGAACCAAAGCCAGGAGCCAGGAGCTTCTTCTGAGTCTCCCATGTGGGTTCAGGGGCCCAAGGACTTGGGCCATCTTCTCTGCTTTCCCAGGCCATAGCAGAGAGCTGGATCGGAAGTGGAGCAGCCAGATCTCTAACCAGCAGCCATAAGGGATGATGGCACTACAGGCAGTGGCTTTACCCACTGTGCCACAGCGCCAGATGCAGGAAAAATGTTTTTAAAAAAGAGAACATTAGAGTGGCCATTTAAGCTAAGGAGCAAAATGTTTGCATCCTATGCTAGAGTACTTGGGTTTGATTCCTGACCCCAGCTTCCTGCCAGCTTAGAGTCAGGGAAGCAGCCAATGATGGCTCAGGCAATTGGGTTCTTGCCGCCTGTGTGGGAGACTTGGGTTGCATTTCTACCTCCTGGCTCTGGCCTGGCCTAAAGTTAGCTATTGCAGGCTGGGGGAGTGAACCATCAGATAGGAGATCTCTTTCTTTCTGTCTCTGTTTCTATCAGTCTTCCTCTCAAAAAAATAAATATAAAAAAGTTTAGAAGGGAGAAAAGTCACTTATCTAAACCAGATGTTTTATCTGTATGGTATAAAGACTTCTGCTTGCATGAAAATGCTTAAGTCGTTAATTAAATGTTTCACTTTCCTTTAGCTGTACTCAGTGATACAGAGAAACAGCCTGAGAGATAAGATGATAAAAGAGAACAGGAAATAGAACTTCCCTCCTCGGGATAATTTTTGTCACTCATTATTTTCCTGAGTCTCATTTCTGTTTACTCCCCTTCAGGATGTGATTAACTGTAGGTTGCTTCCTGGGTTCACATTGCCAAATCTCTCACTGCACTTCTTCCAAGATCTGACTTCTTTGTGCTCCCTGTCTAACTGAATTTCCCCCAACACAGTCTCCCTACCCTACTATGTTGTTGACTTGACTTCTGTTGGTTTTCTTGCTCTCAAAAAATTCCCCAAAGCTTTCTTGCCCATCTCTTACCTTTCTGAGAACCTGAGCCTAAGGCCCATCCAAGCAGGCTCTTCCTTCCATGGCGGGCATAGGAGAGGGGTGGGAGCATTGAAAGAATATATCCTATTTGCAGATAATAAAAGAACAGGAAGTCATTTCTGAAATGTTCACTTGGGAACCAAAAATTAGCTATCTCATAGCTAAAGGTTAAAGGACTCAAATATCTCATCCTTCATAAGCCTTTGTTTGAAGTTAGTTTGGAGGTAGGGAAAGGAAAAAATATATGAAGAATATCTAATTTTGTGAATCTCATTTTCAAATTCAAATCTCAAATGCTCCCTGAGGCAGTGGCTTGCAAAGGCAGCACAGTGATGAAAACTTAATGAAAGACTCAGAAAGATCATAGATCATGCTGACCCATCAGCTGTCATAAGTAAGAGAATCATAATGACATTATTCTAGTGTTTGGGATGTTCTTGGCTGTGTCTCTCTCTCTGCAATGACAGCTACCCTGGCTTCAAGCTTCATCACTGTCTACGATGAGCTCATTCGTGGTCTCTGGTCATTTCTACTAAACACTTCCTTTTTTGTCACTGTTAAAAATATGTTTCGCCACAACATCTTTGCATGGTGATGTCTTTACAGCATGTCTGTACTTACTTCCCAGCCTGGGCTCTCCCCTTTTCCAGTCCATTTACTCTGCCATCAGTTATCTTTTTATAACAGAAATGTGGATCATAGAAATGTCACCGATTAAGACATTCTCTGGTTTTGCCATTCCTTCAAGTCAGGCAAAAGCCTTTTGAATGGGCTATAAAAGCTTTGCAATATAAAACCTGACTCATTTTGCGTCCTCATTTCCTGTCGCTGTGGCCCTGCTCCTCCTTGTCCCCCAGGCCCTACCTCCTCTGTGGTCTCTGCTGCTGCTATACTAAACACGTGGGGTTCACTGACTTCATGCATTGGCATGTGCTTTTCTGGAATGCTCTCTTTTTCTGTTTGGATCATGATGATTTGGTTTCCAAATATTTCAAACATCCTCCTCTGTAAAATCTGTCCTAAATTTATGCTAGGATAACTGTTCTACTCTCCAGAGTGATGATGCCATCCTGGAGCTATCTGAGATCTGCAGCCATGCCTGTGACTTCCCTAGACTTGGGAATCTCACCTTTGCACCTCCTTTCCTTTACAGCGCCTGACATCGCATGTTCAACTGATGCTAAATGAAGGAAATAGTGATTGAAGGGATGGAGATGATCTACACAAGAGGAGCGAAGAGCCGTGTATCTTCACCTGAGCAAAGGCTGCCTGTCCCTGTTACTACCCCCAGGAACTGAGGACCCACCCTTTCTGTACTCCTCCGGGAGCTCCCAGAACAGCACACTTTGGGAAATTAGTCCACCATTGGATTCTTTCCTGATTGATTTCTAGCTTGAGGTTCATTTCCTTATGGCCTCAAAGGAAAAGAAGTACTTTCTCTGTGTACATCTAAGATGGCTTCAATTTCCCTTTTTCACTTTGTAGGTAACAACCTCTCTAGAGGAGGCAAAGGGCTCCCCTACCTCATTCCCCATAAATCCAGGGTCAGCAAGGATTACCCCTCCACCAGACTCCACATTCTGAGAAACTCACAAGAACCAGCTTACCAGTTCTCTCCCGTTTGCTGCTGTGAGCGTTAATTAGCAAAATTATCTAAAAATAAATTAGGAAAAAATATATGAAGTCTTTCATCCTTTGATCCAGCATTCACTTTAGTGATGGGGGAAAACACACACACACACACACGTGTGCGCACATGCACACACACAGGTGTTTATCTCAGAATTATTTATAATACATGTATTTATAAACATTTTAGAGGCTGGTGTTGTGGCACAGTGTGTTAAGCTGCTGTCTACAATGTCGGCATCCCATATGGGTGCCACTTCGAGTCTCAGCTGCTCCACTTGCAATCCAGCTCCCTGCTCATGTGCCTGGGAAAGCAGTGGGAGATGGCCCAAGTACTTGGGTCCCTGCACCCACGTGGGAGACTTGGATAAATTTCCTGATTCCTGTCCTACCCCTGGCTGTTGCAGACACATGGGGGAATGAACCAACAGATGGGAGATCTGTTTCTTCCCCTCTCTCTGTAATTCTTTCAAATAAAATAAATAAATCTTTTTAAAAAAAGCAACAACAAAGAACACAGAGGCTTGGGGGACACTTCTGATGCAAGAAATACTGTGTGTTTGGGCAATCACTCTTCTGGCTAGATGACCTCCACCATCACTTTAGCTGGCCTCTCTCATCTTCTTTTCAAAAAATTAAAGGGAGTGTATTAAATTAGTTTTGGAACATGTGTTACTAAAAATATCTGAGAAACATATTTAAAATGACGTTTCCAAACAGTCATGTTAACTTGCTAATGAAAAATAAACAATATCTACCAAATTTTCATTCTAACAGATGGAGGCTTCTCTTTTTGATCCAAGAGTAGCCTCGCCCTGGAGCAGGGAAGAGAAGCCCCTGCACAGTCAGCTAATATAAGCCTGTACTCCCAGGGTTACTCTAAGCTTCTCCAGTCTAACCTTCCCACATTTCTTCTACACATAAGGACAGTATGACTCCTTGGGGTGTTTCCTGGCATAAATACTCCTTCTGCTGGTTCTATAAAATACACTGTCACCTGCTGCCACACTTCTGAGGTTTCTGAGAGAGGAAATACGGGTGGCTCCTAGCTTGCATCTATATTCCTACATCCAGGCGCCAGAAGTGATCTTGCCAGGCCACTGGTTTCTGAAACACTTCAACCGGATCCTCCTTTGCCATCTGGCTCCAGGGAATCCCACTTTCTATCTCTGTAGCATGGGATACACCTGACATCTGCCTCTGAGTCTTATCACACAAATGCTTCTCCAGGTGAAAAAGAGAAAAAAAACAAAGATGATGGAAAGGGATGAAAAATAGTCTCAACACCACCCTAGGAATCTTTATCCTAAGTCCCAGGGACTGGTCCCTGGTGGCTCTTTCCACATGTTTGTTTATTTCAGGTCTCTCTCCAGAGGGGATAAGTGAGAAGAGAAGGGTGAATGGGGATCCACATGGATCTGAAGATGCTTTCATCTCACTCCCTGGCTTGCTCCTTCACTAAGAAAACTATCTGAGATGAATGAACTTGGTCAAAAAGAACAGGGTAGTTACAATGCCATACAGATATCCTGATCCAACCTGTTCTGCAAGAAAGAGGGGATTTTGTTCTGAATTCTTGGGTGTGGTCAGTGTCATAGGATCATGAATTGCCTCTTCACTTTCTGTTTCTCAAAGCACAGTTTGAAAGTTATGGGACTTTATGGGTGAGGGTCATAAAATGATGGCTCTGAGGTCAGAGTTGTGGTGCATCAGGTTAGACTGCTACTTGTGATGCCAGCATCCAATATGAGTGCTAGTTGAGGTCCCAGATGCTCCGCTTCTGATCCAGTTCCTTGCTAATGTGCTTAGGAAAGCAGCAGAAAATGGCCCAAGTGCAGCATAAAAGGGCCCCTGAACCCACGTGAGAGACGCAGATGGAGTTCCAGCCTCCTGAATTTGGCCTGGCCCAGCCTTGGCCATTTTGGCCATTTGGGGAATATACCATCAAATGGAAGGGAAGATTCATTCTCTCTCTCTCTCTCTCTCTCTCTCTCCCCCTACCTGCTTTTCAAATCAATCAATAAGTTTTTTAAAAGAAAATAATAACTCTGTTCTGTTCTCACCATCACTTGCTCAGCATTTTGGGAAGCACTCACATCCTTTGAGTAGCACACTTTCTTATAATCCTCACCACTCCTGCTGTACTACTTCATAGGGACATCTCCCCATGGACAAAAATGACTTAATGCACTGCTCCATGTGCATCCTTATCTGTCTTAGTTGTCCCTTTGCACCCATTTCCCCAGCTTCACAGACCCAGTGCCACTAGTTTTCTTTATCGGTAACATGCTTTCTTCTACTTTGGGGCCCATACCATCAGATAGGCAGCATATTGTGTCTTCAGTCTTTTGAAAATTAAATGAATAACATGAGTGCTTACTTAGCAGGAGCTCCCAGGGGCCCAGTGTACCTGCCAGGCCTCTGTCTCCTACAGGAGAGTAATGGTTGTAATAAAATTATGGAGTCGACCCCTTCCATTATGATAAGATTCGCAGGGAGTCAGAGCTGTCCAGCCAAGTTGTATTTTTAAAAAGTGGTCTCTCTTACCTATGTCAGCTTCAAGGTAGAGACAGAGACTACAGAGAGAAAACTACTCCACAAGTGTTCTGGGGACATTTGGAGTGAAATATATACAGAGGGAAAGGCTTATGGGGCAGGCATATTCAAAGGAGGCCCTGTGTAGCTGCCAGAAAAGGTGCTTCTGATGATGGAGATGGGGACAGCAGCATGGAGGGGTGTCTTATCTTCCCAGAAATGAACCCCAATGGCTGCGTCCTAAAGGCAGCAGAGTGCACCAACATGTCCAGGCTGATGATATCCTCTGGGCAGCACTGGTAAGTTTCATGGTTGGTATTATTTCTTACTCGACAGTAGTTACAGGAATCAATTGGGCTGTAAGGAAGCCACCTTTCAAAATCTAGGAAAGCTTTTCCCACCTGCCCCTGAAAGGAAAGCTGTGGTGCCCGTTTCTCCAGCTGGTGCTTCACAAAGCGCATTTTGGGGAAATGATCACTTGAGTTCTTATATCATCTCTTCCTGCGTTCTAAGCTCTTGGAGGCCTGATTCTGGAGAAAGATGCATACTGATGCACCCATCAGCAGAGTCTCTCTTACCTGACTTGGGGGGGCGGGCAGCATGATTGCCTTTGTCTCTTCTGAGTAAATAATTGTTGAGCCTAGCATTCATCAGAACTGTTTCCACATCAATTATTTCAATTTCCAAATTTTTTTTCAAGCTTTCACTGTAGATCACTCAATATGTAACATAAAACTGATTATCATTCTTAGATTCAAGTAGCTTTGGAAAACTTGCCAACTTAAAAATGCTAAGCAACCCTATCCCAACTATCTCATGGTTTGCATACTTCTCAGGGAGAAGTTAAAGAGGATTTTCAAACTATATTGCAGCTAGAAATTTCCCCTAGAGATATTGATGATATTGTGACTGTGGCTGGT